GGCGACGTTCGGGAACAAGAGATAAGACTAATCCGGACAAAGTCCGAACTAGAAAGGAAACAGCGGAGGACTACCAAAGGTAGAGGCGGAGGTGATAAGTCAATAGGAATCAATCCTAAGACGAGCGGAGGTCGACGAGAGGATAACTCAAGTCGGACGGAGGAAGGAATGAGCAGAGTCTAAGATAATATTCGAACTAAAGATGTACATAGATTCTACAGGGTTTATATACTACTAAGATGCGAAGTCCAAAGCTATACAAAGCGGTGGACGGAGCGTATAGAAAAGTCAAACGCTAGTCTATCGGAAAATAGTTAAATGAACCCGGAGATTAGATCAGAGGAAAATAAAGGGCGGAAATGAAACGAGGTACGGAAAATGATTTAGTCTAACCGGAGTAGGAACATACAAAGGGATAAGGCATGGAAGTTAGATGCGGGTCGGATCCGGACATAGATAGACGTCAGCCGGATCCGGAAATGATATGTGATAAGTCTGGGTCTGGAACGCGGGATATGACACAGAGGCACTTGACAATCAACAATACATATTTGATGGCAACTGCAGTCTGGTCAGTGATCACTTGCAATGGAAATGAGGCCACTCACATATTGGATTCCCATACATGAACAACGAGATAGTGACTCAGGGTGACATAGTTATAGCAAGCCTACCAGTGGCTCAAATGTTGGATCTCTCCATGAGCAACATTCCAAGGACAGTGCGAGCTGGAGGGTCCTGCTCAACTTAAATCAGCCAAACGAATGATGATACTCTAAGAAGCTACCAACCGTGACATCTAGGGATGAAAGGGGAGGCGAAGTGGGACGAAGATATATACCTGCCATACTACTGCGGATAGTAAATCAATCATTCTGTGTCGTGTATGTCCAACTGAATCTTGATGAGATTCACTGGTCACATCAGTAAGGAACTGTAGCTTTTGGCAGACAGTTGAGTCATATCCGGTGTGTACTCACGTTCCATGCGGCAACAACTTCAAGTTCACACACAAGCTCAAACAGTGTCACATGGAAGCTGAGGCATTCATGTATATTGGACCAATATTGGACTACATAGTAGTGTTTATATAGAGCACAAGGGTATTGAACCCCATCATTGAATCAGTCCAGGCCCAAAGCTGGCCATTGTCAATGGAATCATGAGCCCTCCCCCAACAACAAGGATCAGCCCGCATCCTATCCTTTCGGACAAGGGAAGGCCAAATTCAACAGTGAAGATCCCTGCTAGAACTCCAATGATGGCAAATGCCAAACTCTAGTGCGCCTGTCAGTAATGACTCATTGCGATGAATACCTTATTTCACCTCATCAGGAATGTGAACATCAGTATACTCACAAGGATCACAAAAGTGCCCATCTCCTCTTGTAAGTAATATGCCTATCCAATCGATATTGTCAGACCAGGCTGCAAACAAAAAAAAAGAAGATGATCGCACTGAAAAGTCAAGGTATCTCAAGCTTTGAACCAATTGTTGTGCAATTGCACACCCGATGATGCTGTAGACACAGAGAATGAAGGAGATGGAACACAATGCCTTCATAGCCAGTTGTGTACCTAGACCTGGGACTGCAAGGATGCTGGCATTGACCGCCATAATGACACTTGCCTGTCAGACAAATAGTAAGTGTTCTCAATTAGGCCACGATGTAGCACTCACCACGGTAGTTTGAGCTTTGGCCTGGGCGCTGAAATCATCAGTAAATCTCCTGATGTCCACCCCATTTATGAGACCATCAACATAAACATGTTTAAGACGATCTAGCATCTAGCATTAGGAATGGAATCCAAAACATAGCAACTGCAGTGCCAGTCAGGAAGGGAGACTTTTTGAGGGGTCCACGCTTCCCGGCCACCGAATGCACATCAAGCGCACTTCGGGTTGGCCATGGTGATTTAGGTATTCGTGATGGCCTTTGAATATTCAATCAGGATATGTCTGGTATGAGAAATAGCATCGTACGGAGAATATATGCTAATCTGCCTGTTCAAGATAAATTTATAGTTCCAGTCTTTCCAAGGCTCACGTACCATAGATGACGGTACATGTTCCATCCATAGCTCCATCATGTCTTGCAAAGTCCTCTGTTTTGGTCATCAACTTGAAGATGTAGCTTGAGATCAGCGTGCATGCCTACAGCGGCCATTTCCTTCATTTTGTCGGTGTAGAGAATCATGCCTCTCATGGTGTGATATGGCACTTTACACTAGGAAGTATACAGCACAAACTTGCAGCATCATTCTGTGTGCTATCTGCAGCGATTCCTATATGAGGCGCAGCTTTCCCGCGCTTCACGATGTATATGCGCGCACGCGTTCCCGCGCTTGAGTGCCTTATAGCACCAGCCATCTAGAAGCATCCATCCACTGTCCACCAAGCCCTCTAGTGCGTACATTTCCATTTCTTTTATTAGCATATCATTCCACCATTATTTTTATTATGGTTTCTCACTCATATATATCTTTGCATACCTACTCGGTAGCGCTTTGGCTCCGCATGACCACGCTTAGGCGCGCTATATAAGTGCCAGCAGTACATACTATTAGGGATCTGACTTTTCCTACTTTGCACTTTTCACCTTACTTTAGTTACTTTCCACCCACTTACTACCTAGAAACTCGCAGTAGAAATCTATTTGTTTACACTTCGCATCACTCTTCTCTTATCTTATATCATATCATCACTTAAGTTTAGTCTCTCTTATTTCCACTTACGCGCGCGCGTTCCTGCGCCTTGCGCGCATCTGCGTTTTCTCGCGCTTCGCTTCCGTGCATACCCCTAGATCTTCGCTGTACTCACTTCCCCTTTAGGGTCGAACACACTTGTCTCCTCAAGTAACGCAGACTAGGCAACGTACGACCTTACAACTTTTACAGATACAGTCAGGAGCATCATTTGTTCCTCTTTGTATTGTAGTTTCTACATCAGGTTTCCAAAATATCAAAGCCGCCATTGAGCGTTCCATGGTGGATGCTTCTATTTATTCCTCAGGTTCGTCTTGTTCAGGCGCTATAATGCTGAAGAACTCACCCACACGATACCAATTCAACTTAATGCACAAAGTTCTGACATCCTGGAGAGGTATGTCAATCCCGTGGGGAAAGTACTTGGCGTGTTTCCTGGTGCAATTGAAAATGGTTGCTTCCATCAGAATGGTGATCTTTAGCTCACCAGTACTGAGTGTTACGACAAACGGTCGTGTGCGACTAGGATGATCTAAACAGCGACAACCACGACAGTGGTACCGAGTGCTGAGAGTCGTCGGCCCTTTACAGACAAGCAAAGGTTGCGTACTCGAACGTAGCTCATGGTGGTTAACGAGGGGTTACGCCAAGATGATAGCGGTTTACAGACAGTGAGAGGCGTCACTGAAGGTACGAGTCGATGTCGAGCAGGTAGCTTTAGCGGGACAAGGAGTTCAAGGATAAACCTAGTTGATTAGACTAGTTTCTGGGTAGTACCTAGTAAGATTAAAGTAAGGAATGTCTACTTTAATCTTCGACCTTATATAAGGCTACTCTATCGTATCTAAGCTCAGCTCAAAGCTGGGTTCTAATCTGCTTATCTACTCGAGTCAGAGATAGCGTCCATGAGGCGGGCTTCTATCGTAGATAGCGTCCATGCGGTACGCTTCCATCAGAGATAGGATCCACGTGGTATCCTTCTATCAGTACATGAGGCAACACGAGGCTTGCCTTCTATCTTGATAACATAAATAGGTCTTCTAGACCTATGTCGTCATGTCATGTCACGTGCGGTCCAGACCGCTTATCTAAGCCGGCAGTTGCCGCTTATCGTCTATCATCATCTATCGTCGTCGTCATCTGTCGTCACAGAGCTGGTGAGACTCCGTTATCGTCTATAGCCGTGCGGTGGCAGAGGGCTCTCTGCTGGCGGGGGACTCGTGCCATGTTACTGTAACACTGAGCCTCCAGTTCGAGTCCTGTCCAAAACAAGTTCAATAACAAAAACCACAAAAAAAATTGACATACTTTTATGGTTCCAGTGCCGCACCGTTGTACATTCCTGGAAAAGAATATAGCCATCCACCAGTTCTAGCCAGGCAATGATCCTTCTCTCCAGAACCACATAGTAGTATATATAGATGTCTATTCCTCTCATTCGGAGCGGCTTGACTACTAGCAACCATTTATATGGTCAAAACAGAAATAGGTTTCAAAGTTTGAAATTTTTTTCTCTTCTTGGGCTGGTACATATTTTAGAGGGATGCCCAAGGATTAATATGAGCCCGGAATGAAAGAAATCGGCGGTTGGGATCTGTAGATAATGTCAAAATACTGAGTTTTTCATCCCACCAGCCAAGGTCAACAATGCTGACCTCCAGAGACCCTGGGACCATCACCAATCGATTTCTATGCTTTAAAAACACTGGGACAACCATTTTCAGTATTGGTTTTGAGTGAAATGTGAGTGTTGTAAAATATATGGGGTAGGAGGGGGGGGGAGGACCTTCTGTATCTCAACAACCTGATTTTTCCTGACATATTGGGCTTCACCATCTTGTTCAGGGACATCAAGAGCACCCCGGAAAAATACTCCTAGAGCACAAGCAAGTCATGGGAAGCCTAGAAAAATCGATCTTTGAGGGGGGTATCATGAAAACTCGCATATCTTAATCAGGATGGGCCCAAAACACTCTGGGACCATTTCCAATCGATTTATATGCTCTTAAAACAGTAGGAACACTTATTTATATACCGGTATTTATATAATACCAAGATATATGAGTTAGGAGGGGGGAGGGGGACCCTACATATCTCAACAACCTGATTTTTTCTGACAAATCTGGCTTTACCATCGTGTTCAGAAGCATCAAGAACCCCCAGGAAGAATACTTTTGAAGTGCTGACAAGTCATGTGAAGCCTAGAAAAATCGATCTTTGAGGGGGGGTACCAGGCAAACTCACACATCACATTCCATATTGGTTCAGAACACTCTGAATCCATCTATAATCTATTTGTATCATCATTAAACACTAGGAACATCCCTTAGCACATCTGTATTGACATAAAATCATGCTTCTTGGTGGAGTAGGTGGGGGGAGGGGGTACCATGACTCTGAAACATGATTTTTTCGGACGAAATAAGCATTGCCATCAGATTCAGATTGGTCAATAACCTCTGAATCGAGTTCTATTCGAAGCCAGGCAAGTCAAATGGAGGCTGAAAAAATCAATCATTGGGTGAGGCAGCATGACAGGGGTGACACTGCTTACATAAGCGAAAGCGGTGGACTTGAGCACGCTTAGAACAAGACTTGATAGATCAAATATCTCTGTTGCTGCTGAATATATATCTATCAATCACCTTGATGATGAGCCTGAGATCAAGTCATATAAAGGCTGAAACAATCGACCTTGGGTTGAGGACCTCAGCATCACAGACATTCATAACTTTGGAATGTGATTTTTTTGAACAAAAAGGGCATCACCATCATATTTAGAGAGCTCAATAACCCCACATTAAAGGTGTATTTGAAGCCAAGCAAGTCATATGAAGGTTAAAAAAATCAATCATTGGTTGAGGTGGGCCTGCTTACATAAGCAGAAAAAATGCGGAGGCAGCACAATAGGAGTGGTTATTTTTCATGGACAAACACATGTTTCCAGTCCATTTAGCAGGTTCTATAATATTGAAAACAAGTACTGGTTCAAGTCTGGCCGATCACATGAAGACACAAAAAATGAAACTTGAACAGAGGCTGCCAGTCAACTGAACTGACCAACATGACTTTTGTTGACGACGTCTCAACCACCAGACCATCCAGTCATTACAGTTAGAGACAAATATGCGAGGAAGGCGAAGGTAGTGATTTCACGACTGGTGCATGTCTAGAATAGATATCAGAATAACAGGTAACACAGATTCTGCTTCATCTTGACTCACCAGTATGAGTTCACCTGTTTTCCAGTTCCATACAGCAAGCTCTGAATTCTTTTCTTGTATTATAAATAAGATAACAAGGAACTCGCTACATGTTTGGATGCTAAGCTAAGATGGAAAGACCATGCTATAGCTAAAGGCGCAAGTCATGTTCTCCAGCTACATGGCCCTATATGAAGAGATAGTCTAGTAGTCAATATTTCTCCCAGGAGTCAGGAAGGACTAGGTTTAAATCCTTGTCCTGCCATGATTTCCATCTGGTCGGAGAGGCAGGAAGCTCAGGCACCATGACTCTGAAACATGATTTTTTCGGACAAAATCAGCATTGCCATCAGATTCATATCGGTCAATTACCTCTGGATCCAATTCTATTTGGATCCAGGCAAGTCAAATGGAGGCTGAAAAAATCAATCATTGGGTGAGGCAGCATGACATGGGCGACACTGCTTACATAAGCAAAAGGGGTGGACTTGGACACAACAAGACTTTGCAAGATCAAATTTCTGTTGCTGCTGAATATATATGGATGAATCACCTTAGTAAGATTAGGAAAGGTCTTTACAGTATTGGGTTTGAGTTAAATTCAAGCACAGCAAAATATGTCAGATTGAGGAGGGGATGGACACCTTGCATATCTCAAGAATGTGATTTTTTCTGACAAGTCAGGCTTTACCATCATGTACAGAAGGGTCACAATCTCTCACAAAAAATTCTCTTGGAGTCCTGGCAAGTCATGGGAAGGCTGCAAAAAATCGACCTTTGTGAGGGTTATGAAGGCTGTAAAAATCGATATTTGGGGGGGGTGCAAGACAGGGTGGTCAACTTTGGAATCTGATTTTTTGAGGAAAAACTGGCTCTAAAATAATGTTCAGAGTATTAAATAACCTCAAAATCAAGTTCAAGCTGAACTCCAGCAAGTGATATGAAGGCTGGAAAATCATTCTTGGGAGGAGGCAGATGGCACTGCTTATATAAGCAGAAATGCGGTCATCTCATAGAGGTGGCCAATGACTACTTTGTATTCTATTAACTTCCGCATTTTTGGCTTCACCTTACATTGTGGTTCCATTTCTAATAAAGGTGACCAGTTAATTGTTGCTCCTACTGGCTTGGATAATATCAGTAACCTGCCTGATGATCATGCTACAAATATATTGTACGTGGGAATGCTTATATAAGCAAAAATGCGGTCAACATGAACCAAAAATTTTCTCTTTCTTTCTTCCTCCCCACTTACTTACTTACTATCTGAGTTTTACATTTTTCACTTTTTACCTACAAACTTCTATGCTGGGTGTCACTCCTCAATGGGGGTCAACCTGTTGATAACAGGCCCAGTTTTCTTTCGCTTTTTTGCACTTTTTACCTACACATTTCTATGCTGGGTGTCACTCCTCAATGGGGGTCAACCTGTTGATAACAGGCCCAGTTTCTTTTCTCTTTTTTCACTCTTTTGTACCTACAAATTTCTATGCTGGGTGTCACTCCTCAATGGGGGTCAACCTGTTGATAACAGGCCCAGTTTCTTTTCTCTTTTTTCACTCTTTTGTACCTACAAATTTCTATGCTGGGTGTCACTCCTCAATGGGGGTCAACCTGTTGATAACAGGCCCAGTTTTTTTTCGCTTTTTTCACTCTTTTGTACCTACAAATTTCTATGCTGGGTGTCACTCCTCAATGGGAGTCAACCTGTTGATAACAGGCCCAGCATTTTCGCATTTTAGCACTTTTGTAGTCATAGCTATCAGCCTGTATAAGAATATATTTATTGCTAATGTAAATGATAAATGTTCCTTCCAAAAGTGTGTGACATAAAATTACTCTACTATGAAAGTAAGGGCATCTTCACATTATATTCTGAGAGACAGAGTAAGTGAGTATATACAAAAATATGAGCATGTTGCAGCTCTTTGCATAAAGGATGGGGGTGGCATCATTGTTTGGTTCATTCAGGAAAAGTTAGACTTGCTGAAATTTCGCTCAATGTACACCATCTTCTCCTGAAATAATTTTTATTGTGGCATTTATAACTATCCCTGCCTCTAAGAAGCACAATAGTCTACTAGATTATGACAGCCTGAGTGACCTTGATTCAATTTTCAATGACTCTGATGACAACAATACTCGAATTAAGGGACCTTCAGAGGATGATGCGGACGAGGAATCTGACCCTAACGACGATAACGAAGATGACGAGCCTGTGAGGTCCCAGCCCACAACGATGCTCACATCACCTCCTACAACATCTAGAAAGAAAAAGTGCACAACTAAAATCTGTAACCAATGATCCCTACTACATGGAACCGTGTCTTGATTACTTCTTTTCACAGCAACTTCTGACCCTAAGCCTCTGGCAAAGGTAAAAGAGGTTACCTTTATCACAAGCATCACCTCTGCAGCCGAGATGAAGAAACCTGCAAGCAAACATACTTGGAGGAACGAAACCTTCACACTCAATTTTGATGAGCCCTGGGACACCATGAAAGCACAATTGACCTTGGGTCGAGGACCTCAGCATTACAGACATTCATAACTTTGGAATGTGATTTTTTTGAATGACAAGGGCATCACCGTCGTATTTAGAGGGCTTAATAACACCAGATTGAACGTCTATTTGAAGCCAAGCAAGTCATATGAAGGTTGAAAAAATCAATCATTGGTTGAGGTGGGTCTGCTTACACAAACAGAAAAATGCGGAGGCAGCACAACAGGGGTGGTTATTTTTCATGGACAAACACATATTTCCAGTGTATTCAGCAGGTCATATAATATTTAAAACAAGTCCTGGTTCAAGTCTGGCCAATTACATGAAGACACAAAAACTGAAACTTCAACAGAGGCAGCCAGTCAACTGAACTGACCAACATGACTTTTTTTAACACACAAAGTGTTCCTATCGCATTAACAGGGATCAATAGCACTCAGAGAAACTTCCTAAGAACAAAAAATAAAGTTTATAAGACTCGCATTCACAAGCAAAATGGAGTCTTCACTGCACATGGTGTCTGTAAATGTCGCCATACAAGGGTCCCACCCATCCCAACGTCATAAGTCCATTGATCTAGTTGGTGATGCAGGAAGCTCTGGACTCTAAGAAAGTTCTCTTGCCCAATTTGCCATTGAGTTGGCTGTGTCTGTCATGGAAGATGGTAGGAGATGAAACCAGCTATAGCAGGTGTTGGAATACTTGATTCATGTGAGTCGTGACATGGCTGTGAGCTGGCTTCGTCTCCTACCATCCTCCATGCTAGACACAGCCAACTCAATGGCAAATTGGTTAGCCTGTATTTCCACCTTGGAAACATCTTCGACTATAGACAAATATCAAAACCACCATGAAGGTAAGTACTGTGCTGTAGATTACCAACTTCAGCCTTGATTTCATCAAGTAAAACGTTGAGTTCCTCTCTCCATTCAGCCTCGTAAAAGAACAATATATCTGCATTGTTTGGGAAAAACAGAAATAGATTTCAAATTTTGACAGCTGAAATAATGGCAGGACAATGATGTGAACCTAGTCCTTCACTTATATGGTCAAAACAGAAATAGCTCTCAACTTACAAAAAAATTTCTTTCTTCTTCAGCTGGTAATGATTTGAACCTAGTCCTTCCCTACTCCAGGGGGACGTCTAACCACTAGACCATCCAGTCATTATAGTTAGAGAAAAAGATGTGAGGAAGGCGAAGGTAGTGATTTCATGACTGGTGCATGTCTAGAATGGATATCAGAATAACAGGTACTGTTGATAACAGGCCCGGCATTTTCGCATTTTTGCACTGTTGTAGTTATATCTGTCACTATGTATGAGAGTGTATCTATTGCTAATGTAAATGATGAATGTTTCTTCCAAAAGTGTGTGAGGTAGAATTACTCTACTGTGGAAGTAAGAAAATAATCGCACTGTATTCTGAGAGAGACAGAGTAAATGAGTATATACAAAAATATCAGAATGCTAATTCAATACCATTTGACAAATCAAGCCAAGTCTCAATCAGGTTTGTGACCTTTCAATCTCATTATTACCTGTTAACATGAGAGAACATCTAGATTGGATGATTGGGCTACTACATATGACTATCCACTGATGTATGTATGTATCTTGCACATATACTAATCTACATCCATGTTATCATTTCGTGCCTCAGGGCCTAATTCACCCATTGGAAATGGCCTGGACTTGCGAGTATGTGGTGGAGGAGGTACTCTATTGTTTCTCTTGGCCATGGTAATCTTTTTGTGAATATCCCGACGCTTTTGCCTCTCTGTCTTCCTTCTAATATTCCCATCAGCATCAAATGGTTGTGAGTCGATGAGGTCAGCTGCAAAGATACGTTTTCCCTTGATAATCTTCATGGTACGACGAGCCCTTGGTGCCTTCCTTTGACTATCCCCTCCCCTTCCAACACAGTCGATCCTATAAAATGATGGATTTGTGATGAAAATGATGGAATCATTCTTTTGCGTCCATACTCTTGCGCCACTTGCAGGAAGACAATGCAGGTCGGAAAATACCTCGCATAAACCTTGCTTCAACGAAGACCGCTGGCCCTCCTCCATAGTCTTCATCATCCTATGAAACTCTGCGATATATCCATCTTGCTCCCATAGTACAGACCACTGCGGGTTGCTTTTATGTGCAGCATCAGGGTTTGGAAAGAATAATGAGCACCTGTCCGCAAATTTTCTTGACTTGGGACCCATACGACCTGGGGTTACACCAGTATTGTCTTGCAGCCCAGCGTTGCATGCTTCGAAAGTGACTGCAGCAAGTGTGTCATCAATGCTAGTGATCGTCCAGCACTTCATTGCCTCCCGAAGTGAATTAGGGTAGGGTCTGATTCCTTTTATGACTTCAGTGGTCAGCATCAGCCACATCTGCCTTGTGAACATGATGACCAAACGTTCAACAGAGAGTTGAATATTAGAAAACCTGGAAGAGAATGTCCACTCCCGCATGATAAGTGCAGGTGAACTGGAAATGGCAGCCTTGAGTCGTGCCCATGTTGGCGTCCGACCAAGGGGGTAATCCTCCAGCTCTGATTCGGAGCTCTGCCATGCGACCATCCTTGCAACCGCTCTATCTCTTTGAACTTTTGCATTTACACCCATGAGGGCTAGCACATGGACGTCGTCGATTTGCTGCACCTCCTCCAAGCATGTATCACTGCTGAGATCGAAATCTTGGACAAAAAACATCCCTGCAGTCTCGAGAACATTTCTATATTCCAGAAGAGCAAGGGATTCGCGGATGTGGAAGTCATAGATGATAGGGGTTGATGTAGTCGAGCGCAGCATGTGGTTCAGCACGCCAGTCAGAATTCCAAGGTTTGGAGGATTCTTCTTCACAATTGTGATTTGTGTCCTCTGAATCTCCCGCATTCTTCGTCTGATGAGCTCAAACCAGATCTTGGATGGGATCCATAGTATGGGATCAGATTGCAAATATTCGATAGCCTGGAGTTCAGCCATTTTCAGAGTAATTCAGCTTCAGTGCGAATTATCACTGACCTTGCTTTGGATATTTTCTAGCATTATTCTAGCTGCATGGCCACTGACCCGATACTCATCTCTGACACCATAGGTCTTCTCCTTGCATCCGTCGACCACCTTCATGACATCAAAGCATTCAGCCATGTATGATGGAGATATTTTGTATGCATCGCTGTCTGAAGCAAAGTTGACTTGGTTGTTGTTCGTTCGGATGGACTCATAGTATAGGTTGTAGGTGCTCCTGAATGCAATGTGCGTCTGCTGAGATCTCTCCTGTTGCATCTCTGCCTGAAGTGCGCCATATCTGGAGAGCATGTTGTGGTGATGCATCTCACCACGCTTGTAGCCACCTGCGCCAAATGATGCCTCTAATGCATCTAATCTCCATAAACCAACGACTGGAACCTCTGGAGAGTGGGGCGTAAATGAGATGCCGATGTCTACCAGCAACTCTCCATTTCTCCTGTTCATCATATATTGCCAGTTGAGGTCGGGAAGGTTGTGAAGCAGAGCCTCTTCTGGTCCTGTGAAACGCCCCCTCTGTCCATCCTTTGTGAGAAGCTTGATTCCCTTTCCCTCTAGAATGAAGAATGATGACCCATACATGCTGAGCTCTCCCTCTCCATCTTGTATGCGAGCTTCCATACGGTCCTGCACATCTCTAAAGTCGTCATCGGAGAGTGGTATCGTCTTAGGAGTTCCCCATCCACCTTTGCGTCCATCTCTACCTCTTGCCTTGTATCTCGCCTCTTCCAACGTGTGCTTGAGGTAAGGTGCCCAGCTAACATCGGTGGAGTCTCCTATAGATGGCAGCAGCACTCGATCCCAAAATATATCCAAGACCTCCTTTGGCATCAACGTTATTCTACGACCGTTCACAGGGTGTTGGTGTATCATTCTCGGGAAGGCAATATAAAGATTGAGCGTCGAGGAAGCAGAGGATATGCGCCCAATGCAGGTGTGAGGGATCGCAGACATGGGAAATCTTTTTGATAGCCATTCCGTTCGCCCACCAGGAGTATTAGCATCTTCTTCAGACTGGGGAATTGTTATGTCGACGTATGCATGGTTGTGCTTGAAAATACCAGGCTTGGTTTGAAATGGCGGAGTGACATAAATCCCTACAGACCCTCTGCATCGGAAAACCTTTGTCGTCCAAATGATACTGTCGATGTCCAGTGAGGTCTCTATCTCATCCTCCGAAAACTTTATTGCATCTCTTTCAAGGTCGACATACATTGCAGGTCCATCACCATATCTATGGCTTGTGCGGCCACGGACAAAGGAATTATGTCCGAACCTGCATTCCTTGTACAGGGGGGGATCATATTGCGCAGATTCTATTAGTTCAGAAGCAGAGAGGATTTTCACATCTGTAACATGCGTGTGCTGTGTGTCTTGAGATGGTCCGAGACGTGCAAGGCTGTATGCACCTGTCACTCGATCTGGAATTTGATTTGAAGCATCATAGGAGTTTGTCGTTCCAATAGGCATGATGTGGTCCATGGTTGCTATGGGGTCGCATTGATAGAATATATGAAATGAGCTAGGTGTGATGCGATATCCATGATCGACCCAATCCACCCAAGCAGAAGAGAGCTGGATTGCCCCAGCCTGGAATGTTGTTGTCGGATTTATGTCCCTCTGTGCTTTCAACATCTCAATAGTAGGTCCATCCCAATACTCATCGAATGTGGGATCATCGTGAAGCCACCTTCTACCTGAATACGCAACCAGAGGAAGTGGTGCAATAGGACGTGGAAATCGTTTGTTGCTTCCAAGATTCCAGTTTTTTACTTTTCTACGAGGTGCTGATGCGGCAACAGAGCGTTGCGAGTCATCTGTATTATCGCAATTGTGTGGAATTTCTATCTCCAGTTCCAGGTGAGTTCCAGTTGCGCGAGGGACAATGTGATTGCGGTTCCTGGATCCAATCAGCTGTTTGTGGTCTTTGAATAGCTTTGCAAGAGTTTTCTTTCTCTCTTGCGATAGGGCTACGCCAAGGCTATCCTCATTATCGCTCGATTCAGCTTCTAAATCCTCCACATCAAGTCTTGTCTCGTCTTGATCCTCAGAGCCAGGTGAGGTGCGTTTACCATCCTGTGATAGTACAGGACGCTGACATATTATATAGGACTTTTCTAATTGGGTTAGGGTTTTGAAGGGGTTATTTTAGAGGGTTTGACTTTTAATAAATCTCAATTATATCTACAAATCCCTCCAATGGAACCAGTTGCATTGGAGGTTGGTTGGTTGGATGTATATATGCCCCTAAGTTAGTTAGTTAGTTGGTTGGATGTATATATGCCTCCAATGGAACCAGTTCCAATGGAGGTTAGTTAGTTAGGTTGGTCAGTTGGTTAGTTGATTGGTTGGATGTATACATGCCTCCAATGGAACCAGTTCCATTGGAGGTTGATTGGATGGATGTATATATGCCCCCAAGTTAGTTAGTTTGGTTGGTTGGTTGGTTGGTTGGATGTATACATGCCTCCAATGGAACTGGTTCCATTGGAGGTTAGTTAGTTGGTTGGATGTATATATGCCTCCAATGGAACCAGTTCCAATGGAGGTTAGTTAGTTAGGTTGGTTAGTTGGTTAGTTGATTGGGTGGATGTATATATGCCTCCAATGGAACCAGTTCCATTGGAGGTTGGTTGGATGGATGTATATATGCCCCCAAGTTAGTTAGTTTGGTTGGCTGGTTGGTTGGTTGGATGTATACATGCCTCCAATGGAACTGGTTCCATTGGAGGTTAGTTGGTTGGTTGGATGTTTATATGCCTCTAATGGAACTAGTTCCATTAGAGGTTGGTTGGTTGGTTGGATGTATATATGCCTCTAATGAACCCAGTTCCATTGGAGGTTGGTTGGTTGGTTGGATGTATATATGCCTCTAATGAACCCAGTTCCATTGGAGGTTGGTTGGTTGGTTGGATGTATATATGCCTCTAATGAACCCAGTTCCATTGGAGGTTGGTTGGTTGGTTGGATGTGTCTAATGTTAGTTAGTTAGGTCAGCTAGTTGGTTAAATGTATATATGCTTCCAATTGTTAGTTAGTTAGAATATCCCTTTGCAAGATGTCACGTCAGCAACTTATCTGCAATCTCTGAGTATCAGTCGGCTTACATCCACTTGCAATGTGACCTGAGCTTCTTCAATTGCAAGGCCTTTGGCCAGCCATGTTGCCATGCCGTGGCGGTGAGTAGGCCCTCCCTATGAATCTCAAGGAAAGGACTATCGGCGATGTGCTCCTTGAGATGCTTGTTATACTGACAGTTAACATCATAAAAGGTCAATGCATGGTAAATTCCTTCGGTGTTCACTTTCAATGCCTTGCAGAGTGCACAATCCATGTTCATTTGTCTGCTGGCCATCAGTGATTGCAGGCTGATCATGAGGTATGTTACATACCTTTCTCCCTTCTGAAAGTCCACCATTGTGTGGGGCACAAAACAACCATGCCTTGCACAGGCACAACCGCCAATTCCAGTGGCTTCCAGTCTGTGACAGGATACATTTACCTGATTGACTGCCTGGTAATTGTTGCACTCCAAATGTTAAATGCCATCGTTGGCAATGGCCAAGTGCTTCTTGTAGAGTAGATTGCCGACCATGAAGCCACAGCCATCTATTAGAGATACTTTATCGGTGGGATTTACTGCATGGAGATGCTCAGCTTTGAAGTTTCTGTCCATGACAAGAGATCTAGTGTAAAGCCAACTCAGCATCTCCAGATTGGATTCTTGGTCAGCATTGCAGGCCTCGGAAGATTCTCCCATTGGCAATGTGAGGTTGATCCCTGGCTGGGGACACACCGGACAGAAGAGAGTGAGATCGCCGGGTCTGACTTCCTTCTCCTCATGGCTGAAGTCATTCCATTTCAGGAGCTTCAGTTTCTGCCATTGTCTGGCTACCCTCATGAGCTCTCTGTAACAGTTCTTCATCCTAATTAATGACACAGCCAGTGAGTGATCAATGAACCTACCAGCACCAAGTTGGGAAATACACATATTGTCATCCTCCTTAATTTGCTGTAATAATTCATTACTGAGATCCCACACTCCAGGTTGTCCAGCAAGAAGTCATCCAAGACATTGAATGTGAACACTGTTTTTGATTCTAAAAATGAGGCCAGAAACAGACCCATTTGAAAGAGCTGTATATCGGCAGCCACAGCCTCTGGGCATGTGCAAAACTTGACAATATTAGGATGGGTAAACCTGCAGATCTCCAGACCTTGACCCGCACCCATACCCGTGTATCCAAGGGTATCAGCAGGTATGGTACCCATGAGGGGTAAACCGATGGGTATACATACAAATGTAGCTACTAGACATGCATAGACTACAAAATAATATCATTGCAGCCCTCATCCAACTCCCGCTCTTCTCCTTCAAGGTTTCACCAACAACAAGGATTGTTTGTCTGCTGAGAAGATCAAGTGCATAGTCAATGAGGCTGAGAAATACAAGGGTATCTTTCTGCTTATCTATGATATCTATAAACTACAGCTGACGACCATGCTGCTCATATTTCGGTCAAGAACAGCCTTGAACCATATGCATACAACCTTTGCAAATCAGCGAGAGGCTTGCTGACAAGTCAAAGCTTGAGAGCTACATTAATGAGATCATCTTCTGGCTTGATGCATCACAAGACTTGGCAAGCATCAAAGAGGAAGTAAGAGGGCAGACATACCCAGGGGTTTACCCATGTGACCCATGCATTTATGGGTATGGGTGTACTGCCGGTACAGATGCAGGTAGAGCACACTGTACCCAAGGGTTTGCCGTGCTAATGCATAAGCTGAGATGAGCTGAGACAACACTACATACACTTGTGGGAAGAACCATTGTTATGTTTTGTGCTTATAGGGAAAGACCTGTATCCACCAGTGGGAGGACCATTGGTATTTTTTACCATCATAGGGAAGGACCATATCAAGAGGGAAAAGACCATTAGTAGTTCCGGGAAAGACCATATTGGGAGGGAAAAGACCATTGGTATTTTTTACTGTCAGAGGGAAAGACCATATTAGGAGGGAAAAGACCACTGGTACTTTTTACTATCATCGGGAAAGACCAGATTGGGGGGGAAGGACCATAGGTACTTTTTAAAATAATCAGGAAAGACCAGACTGGGCGGGGAAGGACCATAGGTACTTTTTAAAATAATTGTGAAAGACCAGATCAGGGGGAAGGACCATAGGTACTTTTTCAAATAATTGGGAAAGACCAATGATACATTGGGACAGACCAAGTATGGACCACATGCACAGATAATTCTAACGAGAAACCCCCATGGGAAAGAAACCCCGACATCAACAGGAACATTGAGTAGAAACCTCTGCTTACCTAATGAAGACCGCTGTTTGTTTCCGCCGTGTGCACTGGTACTCAATGTTCAACATTTAAAAAATTTACTACGTGCTGCTGGCTTTCTGCCGTCGAATAATACACACATTGCCATTCAAAATACGAGCCTTGCGTGTGATGAAGACTCAACCAACCAGTGACCAACAGAACACATTCAATTCTAATCAAGTTCAACACACTTCAAGTTCCAGTGGCTCATCTACTGCCATCCGTTACCGAATCCAATCACAATTTTGCCGTGTGTGACCCTCCCATCGACAAAGCCCACATTTTCAAGGGGCTCTCTGAGTTGCGCTCATGGTTGACTCAAGGTGAGCCTGGGATGCTATTGGAGTGGCCACTATATTCTCTGAACAGATGCGGCTTCTCACCAATGGCCCTCCTCCACACGGTCTACCTTCAATGGCACCTGTGAGTCGTGCTGACCGCGGGCGCCCTTTCTGCTGAATGACTGGAGGGTTGTGGATAAGAGTGGAATGGGCCTCTTCAGCTTTGATTCTCCTGAGGGAAATATTGATAAATTTAAATCAATGTACTGACAAAAACATACCACAGCTCATCAAGGTCCTGCGATAGCTCGTCGAGGTCTTCCTTTGTGTGGACGCCATTTATGAGTGGCTTGAGTGCAGCGTGAGTTTTGTGGTATACTTCACATGCACCAATAGTCTGGGTGGGTGGTACAGCGCTTTGCTGTATGGAGGAATCGAGTGGATTGGATTTGTGAGAAGACTTTGTTGTAAGAGATGTTGATCGAATGGCAGAGTTATTCTGTGGTATGTTTTCTAGAGAAACTGATGACACAGTCTGGATGTCCAAGTTATGATCTTGATACCATCTGCATGAAAGTTTGTCAGAGTCGAGGACTACACTGTTGCACCACGCACCTTGCTCGGACGAGTCCAATATGAAACGATAAGGTTGGCATCCTGGTCAGTGCTTGAAGTAGTGACGACAAGGAATGCCAAGGTTCATTCCCATGCAGCAGTCACACAGATAACTGTTGTTTTGAAGGATGGTGAGGAAGTGTGTCGTTTTCGTACCATGGTTGATTATCTTCAAGAGATGTTGTATCTCCAATCCTTGTGAACTTATCAGCTGGAGCAACCACTTGGTGGAAATATATGCCTCGTCATTCTTGAAGTTATTGATCATGTGCTGCGGCAACAGGAATCATTGCATGAGTTTTGTTTGACTCTAGTAGAACAAAACACAAACCTGTTCCTCGTTATCACACATGTATAACCACGTTCACCGCTGTCTGCCTGAATTGCATACTCTGTCTAATGATACAGATAGTATCTGTGTTTCAAATCAATGATTCAAAGCAGATAGTTCGAAGGCACATACCCAAGTTTTTACACCCAATGTCGCTGGACAACCTCCGTTTCATAGAATAGACTCTCCTCCATCTCCTTGTGGCACTTTTGTAGTGCAAATGGACCAGCATGCTGTCATAACACTGTGCAAG